GTTATATTGTGTGGATATAACTAAATACATAATTTTAATTTTTTGAAAATATTTATAATTTAATGATCTTTGTACATGATATACAGGTATACCTCGCCTTACGTCGGTAATTGGTTCCAGGAAAACGACTTAAGTCGAAAAACGACGTAAGTCGAATTTACTTGTCTCCGAATCTACTTGTCACTAGGAAAAACCATAAATTACTATTCCCAGTTCTGTATTTTATTTATTAATGCATTTTCAATAATATATGGTTAATAAGAATCTATTTTAAGCTCACAAACAAATAAATTTTAGTTTTTAATAGGATACAGAAAAAAGTAATCTAAATTTACGAATGCATGTACTATACTGTAAATACAGTACATACTTGTAAATGTATATATTTTAGTATGATTTTATGTGCTTTAAACGCTTTTCTAGTGATATTACGACTTCAATATTTGTGGCGGACGGACGTAAAGTCGAATAAAATGACTTAAACTTGATTTTTATTTTTTCGTATACTTTTTTGACAAACGGCGTATAATCGGGAACGACGTAAGTCGAGGTATACCTGTATTGCTTCTCTTATTTTTTACTAGCAGATAAGCCTGGCATTGCTTGGGCAAAAAGTAACAATAGCAAAGATTAAGATTATTACATTACAGCCAAGCTTACTTGTTTTCACAGAATGCAAGAATTAGGGTCCCTTGTTTCCAGACTAATTAGAAAATTTTTAGATGGATCTAAAATTATGTTCGATTTCCTGCAAAACCGCAAAAAGCCACATCTGCGCCTGTAAATCTTGCATGTTGCTTTCTCTTAACACTTCCATTCTTAACACTTTTATTGTTACTTAACACTTCCATTGTTGAAGCCTTAATCCTGACCCTTTCCCCGCGGGGGAAAATTTTGAAAAATCCCTTCTTAGTGTGTGTTCTCGTGACGTACCCTAACTGTGTACCAAATTTCAAGTTTCAACTCCTGACTGCGCTGAAATGCTCGTATACACGTGCGCTCTACCCATCATAGGATAAATGTACTATGCCAGAAATCTTCGCGGGAGTGTATTAAACAACTTCCCAAAGTTTCATGGCAATTGGATAAATGGTGTAGTGCATGAAGGATAGACAGACATACATTTGTTTTTATATATATAGATAATTAAGTTTCAATATTCAAAAATACTTCTTTATTATTATAATCAGATAAAAATTCAGACTTTAATTATTAGTTACATGGATGAAAGATCTGCCAAACTAATATTTTCAAATTTAATTTCTAGAATTTTATGATAATTTTCATATGTATAAAAAAAAGAACAAAATCAAAATTTAATATGAAAAAGTTGTTTTTAACTTTATTATATATTTTTACTATACAGTTGACCCCCCCTATAACACGGGTTCCTATAGTTCGGATTCCTATATCACGTGAAAAATTTGTGACAGTATTCGTACAAACATGCTAAAAAAAAACTCCTATAATTCGGTAAAATGTCATCGCCGACTTGTGACACAACAGGATTGGTCGAATCTAGACCAATAGCGGATATTGCACAACCGTTGAGTTTAAACAAGCAGTGGACCTACTAAAAACCATTTATTATTTAACGTCCATAAAAATTATATTTATATTAATGATGTCTCCAAAGTTCAGCAAATTTTTCACAGAAAAAATAATTTATCAGGAAGCACGCGAGTGCCATTTGATGACAAGTTCCACGATGAAAACAAGTTTAAGCAATGGCGTTGTCAAATGGTGCACACTCGGTAAGTAATCCTACAATTTTTTTGTTTATAGCATAGTTTATATGGATTATTCCCAAAAAATTATACGTATTTTGGAAATGTTGAGTCGAATTAGTCAAGAATCGATTAATTTTATGGAAGAAACCTTTCAAACAGCCGTAGTCCGTAAACTGCATACATGCTGGGCTGTGATTGGCTGGACTCATAGAAAATGGATTCATAAAAACCAGAATGTATCTACCGTGTTATAGAGTGGGGTTGACTGTATTAATTACTAAGAATTTCCTAAAAAGAATGTTTTCCTGTGTTTTGGACATATTTATCTGACATAGATGAAATTACAGTGACTTTTCATCATTTATTCCATTTACATATTCAACATAAGAATATTTTAATACTAAAAGATGCATTATTACTATTAATAATTATTTAAATTATTCAATTCTAAGAACTTTCATAAATCAGATGTTAATCGTCAAAGAGAATAGCATTATGTTAGGGCTTTAAAAAGCATGCATATTACAAAAATTGTGCAACAGTACAGATTAATACTTCATATTATGAATAAATGACAATGAACAAATATATAAATTCTAAGTTTTCTTTCTGAACTAATATTATTTAATTCATCAAGTTTAAGTATTCAAGTTTATAGATGTTAGTTTTATCCATATATCACATTAATATTCAACTTTGTGTCATTAATCAACTTTATCAAAACAAACTGTTAATCTCTTATAGAGGGCCTTTTTGTACTTTAACGTGTAAAATGCATTTTTAGCTTCTACAAAATCATCATCAGATAAAACTGATAAAACATTTGATTTAAGAGAACATCAATTCAAATTTATTTTGTCAAAAACTTCTGTGTGACAACTATCATAAGATGGATACAATTTTAAGACTTAAAATTTTTATTGCTTATAAATTTAGTTTAATTTTAAAAGCTTAAATGTGTTTTTTTTAATTAATTAAAGTTCTTTATATATATGTTACAGTCAAAACCCGTTTTTAGTTAGGACGCGTTTTAACTAGTTGAAACTAGTTTTAACTCAAATTCATTTTTGACTAGCAGTAAATTCTAGTTTCAACTAGACAAAATGGGTTTTAACAAAAACATCCAGTATAAACTAGTTTTAACTAGTTAAAATGCATCCTAACTAAAAACTGGTTTGACTGCAACGCATAGTGATTTGGGGTAAGATGGTAAGCGGGGGAAGATGCCTAATTTTTGATATTTTCAAACAGTGACATCACATATTGTCATGTATTTGTATGATGAATCGTTGGACCAATATTGAGTGTGTAAAGCTGTAGTTGGCTACCGTTACTTCATTTTCTACATCCGAGAAGAATAAAAGCTATATAAGAACCTAGTTTTTGTTATGAAATGTTTCTAGAATAATTTTAAACTAAAAGTTAAAATGGAATTTATTAAAAATTGCTAAAAACAATTAATGTGTGATGTAGTTAAGGTTCTAAAGTTTCCATTGTCAGCTACCGCCGATCCCGATCGGACATGCTGGAGCACGTGACTCTACTAGGCATCTTACCCCAACAAATGGAAAATATGCCACATTTTTCTTGGGGTAACGTGCCTATTTTTTGTTAATTGATTTCCAATATGCCTATTTTTAATAAACTTTTGTTTTCTCGTTTTATTGCAGGATATGCATAGAAATTATATAAGGACTTCTCAAAAAAGTTTTTGGACTGAAAAAAGCTTTCAGCTAGCTATAGAACACGTTAGAACGGGCGGAAACTTAACAATACTTATACTGTGCTGTTATACTTACTATGAAGTACTTTGTACTACATATGCAATAAATTAAATTTGGTTAAGAAATTCAAAAATTAATTTTAAGCAATTATATTTGTTATCTTACCCTAATGGCATTTGGCATCTCACCCAGATACTTGGGGTGAGATGCTTAAAATGCCAGACAGTGAAAAAGTCGTCATTGCAAACACAGTATAGAATTTTTTAAAATAAACTCCAAACTTTTATTTGAAAGACATACTCCAGAATATGATATTTTCATTAGAGGGCTCCTAAACTCAAATTAGCGCTGTAATTTTCTTCATAAGCAAAATGTTAGGCATCTTCCGCCGAATCACTATACATAACTTTATTTCCCCCAAACATATTTATGTAGCTAAAATTAGTTTTAACTAATGTTAAAAGTTAAAACTAGTTTTATCTAAAGTCAAAACATGTACAGCAGTAAATTAACTAGACAAAACCGGTTTTGTCTAGTTAAAACTAGAATTTACTGCTAGTCAAAAATGAATTTGAGTTAAAACTAGTTTTAACTAGACAAAACGGGTTTTAACAAAGACATTCAGTATAAACTAGTTTCAACTAGTTAAAACGCGTTCTAACTAAAAATGGGTTTTGACTGTAACACATCCTTCAGCTGTTTCCTATTTAGTGACTTCTTTCTTCCACTGTCTTTTCTCTAAATTCAATGTCCTCATAGCTTATATTCAAGGGTCAAGCTCAAACCTTTCCTTCTTTTGCTGTCAGTAACTCTCTTATTATTTTTGTCAGTATATTGTTTCTTTCCACTTAACTTCACCACACACTGTGTTGAATATATGACACGAGATCGACTTACTTTAACCAAATACTTTCCACTTTTTTCCATTCATGTTCTTCATCAATATCATTAAATACTCTAAGAGCTGTGTTACTTTCACCTTTCCTGAGTGAATCTTCCTGAATACATTTATTGTTCATTTCCAAGTCACTGTAGGAAATTTGAATCTGTGTTTATGTCATAGCTCAAGTTTCAGCCAAAAATCAGATAACTTCTGTTGATATAGTTGTCCTGATGATCAATTAATTAAATTAAATAAATAAATAAATTAATTTAATTAATTCTTCCAGTACCTTCTCTCTACTTAATCAAAATGTTTTTGTTTACCACCATCCATGCTGAGATTGTCATTAACTTTTTTCCAAGATATTAAAATTTTTTTGTTTTTACATAGTATTTGTTCAATACATTACTGTAAGAATTTTCATAAATTGATGATGTTTGGTCAGTTTTACAAAGTAATTTGTTTTTTAAACAAGCGTGTAATCTTTATTAACTTAGCATGAAAATAAAAGTATAATCAAAGGTTTATTTTTATAGGTTATAAAATTAATGTTTAAAGTTTTTATTTTAAATCTATTTAAAGGATGAATAATGAAGACATTTATTGTTATTCCTATTTTATTGAATATTTTAATTAATATAAATGTTTATACTTTTTGTATAGGTTTCAATGTTGAAACTGTTGAATATAAGAACATATGTTTTACTGTATGGGATGTTGGAGGCCAAGATAAAATAAGACCATTATGGAGACACTATTTTCAAAATACACAGGTAATATTAGAAATTTCATAATAATCAATGTTTTAAGAAATAATTTTTTATTACTGTTTTAATTTTTAATTCTCTTCCAAATTCAAATATTATAAATTTAAATATTTTATTAGTTTAAATTGATTAAAAAAATTAATAGTTGTTGAACTATTAATTTTAATATTAATATTAAAAGTAATATTAATATTAAAATGGAAAAATGGCACTCTGCTCTGCATGGATATTAACCCATGATTGTATGCAGTTGGATGATTTTTCATATCTACTAGTTTTTTATGGTAATTCTTTTTGGATTGGCTTACTTAAATGTGTTTCTAAGACATCTCATGCTACATGCTATCTGAATGTGTAAATGTTTTGGTCAAAAAAATTTTCCTTTCTTGGGCTCTCAAAAAAACTGCTATGGAAATTTGCCGTCTTGTGCATGTTCTTGCTCGTGTGAAATTTTTTCCACACAATTGCATATAAAAGTTTGATTTTTCTGCTTTGATGCCATTTTTCAACCTTGTCAGTCATAGAGGCTTCTTAAGATTCCTGCAAGAGAATCATGACATCATGGATGTTTGCCATCTATGCATGATGTCATAATGTGGTAGTCTGTAAGTTGCTACGACTTTGAATGCTTGGCCTATAGGCTGCTATGGTCTTCAACAATTTAAATCTTTTCATGGCTTTATTTCTTGCCTGAAAAATACAGAAAAATCATTTTCTGGTCTTTCTGAGAAACACTTCAACCTTCTCATCATTTTCAGCTGAATTTGTTTCACATTAGTTCATGCTATCACAAAATTGGGAAGGCTTCATATCAGAGAAGAGTTAAGGACTTTGTTCTATAAACAAAACAATATCTTTCAAACTAAACGACATATTATCTTCAAATCATAGGATTTTTAAGAACCATCAAATTTAATTATGTGCAGTGTAATTACTTATACAAATCAGCAAAAAGTCACCTACAGCTATACTAAATGGAAACTGCGTGTCTTTGAAGATTAAATTTTTTCTAGTGTTTATACAAAATTAAACAAAACGGAACAAAGGAAGTCTAAATAAGAAAGAATGTTATATTAGATTTTTCTTCTTATATATTTATTTATTGCCAGCTCTACATGAATGCTTTTCATTGGTGGAATGTGCATTTCTATGACAACCATGTTCAAATTTGTCTTACAACAATCCATAACTATTGTTGCAGTTTTTGTTGTTGACATTTTTTTACAGTAAAATTGGTAACTTTTTGCAAAAATTTATTAGTGTTGATCAAAAATGATTATTTTTCTTATCATTTCATAAATCTTTTAATCAATAAATCAGATTGTTGCACTATGCAATATACTTCAGTTAATTTTAAGCTGAGCATAGATGGGAAGTAATTGATTCTCTGAANGAGAGTGAGTTCTAGTTTACAGAAATTTTGCATAATTATTAATTTTATTTTATTCATGTTAAAAAAAAATTATATACAGGGTATTTCAAAGCGTAATTGGAAAAATGGCACTCTGCTCTGCATGGATATTAACCCATGATTGTATGCAGTTGGATGATTTTTCATATCTACTAGTTTTTTATGGTAATTCTTTTTGGATTGGCTTACTTAAATGTGTTTCTAAGACATCTCATGCTACATGCTATCTGAATGTGTAAATGTTTTGGTCAAAAAAATTTTCCTATCTTGGGCTCTCAAAAAAACTGCTATGGAAATTTGCCGTCTTGTGCATGTTCTTGCTCGTGTGAAATTTTTTCCACACAATTGCATATAAAAGTTTGATTTTTCTGCTTTGATGCCATTTTTCAACCTTGTCAGTCATAGAGGCTTCTTAAGATTCCTGCAAGAGAATCATGACATCATGGATGTTTGCCATCTATGCATGATGTCATAATGTGGTAGTCTGTAAGTTGCTACGACTTTGAATGCTTGGCCTATAGGCTGCTATGGTCTTCAACAATTTAAATCTTTTCATGGCTTTATTTCTTGCCTGAAAAATACAGAAAAATCATTTTCTGGTCTTTCTGAGAAACACTTCAACCTTCTCATCATTTTCAGCTGAATTTGTTTCACATTAGTTCATGCTATCACAAAATTGGGAAGGCTTCATATCAGAGAAGAGTTAAGGACTTTGTTCTATAAACAAAACAATATCTTTCAAACTAAACGACATATTATCTTCAAATCATAGGATTTTTAAGAACCATCAAATTTAATTATGTGCAGTGTAATTACTTATACAAATCAGCAAAAAGTCACCTACAGCTATACTAAATGGAAACTGCGTGTCTTTGAAGATTAAATTTTTTCTAGTGTTTATACAAAATTAAACAAAACGGAACAAAGGAAGTCTAAATAAGAAAGAATGTTATATTAGATTTTTCTTCTTATATATTTATTTATTGCCAGCTCTACATGAATGCTTTTCATTGGTGGAATGTGCATTTCTATGACAACCATGTTCAAATTTGTCTTACAACAATCCATAACTATTGTTGCAGTTTTTGTTGTTGACATTTTTTTACAGTAAAATTGGTAACTTTTTGCAAAAATTTATTAGTGTTGATCAAAAATGATTATTTTTCTTATCATTTCATAAATCTTTTAATCAATAAATCAGATTGTTGCACTATGCAATATACTTCAGTTAATTTTAAGCTGAGCATAGATGGGAAGTAATTGATTTTCTGAAATGTAACTTACTCAAATCTTAAAAACTATAATAAAATTATATACAGTGGTACCTCAGGATATGAAATTAATCTGTTCCAAAACTGAGATCGTATCATGAAAATGTCGTAAGGTGAGTCATTTTTCCCCATGTGATTACATGTAAAACCAAATAATTTGTTCCAACACGAAAAACACACTCAAATTAAAGCTAAGTAGTACCTAAAAAAAAAAAAACTATAGTAAGGAAAACACTGAAAATTGCGTTTTGTAGTTGTAAATGTATAAATAACCATAATAGAATAATAATTGATAAAAAAAAAAAAGAAGTTTTATTTGCACTTTACCTTTGAGGATAGACGACGGTGGAGGTGTAAACTGGTGGCGGAAGAGAGGGAGATGATACTAAAACTTAACTTACATAACATAATGTAACAATAACTTAAAAATAACTTAGAAAAGTTAAAAAAATATATATATATATATAAAACAACACTAATTTTTTTTTTAATTTTTATTCACTGCTTTTTGCTTTCTTNTTTTTTAACTTTTATTCACTGCTTTTTTCTTTCTTTCCTTCACTTCCACCAGCACTTTCACTGGATAGAGGTCGCTTGGTAAAATATCTATCCAAAGAGGTTTGGCTTTGCCTACTTTTTAAAATGTTTCTAAAATGACTTAGGCAAATATCATTACTCTGAGCAGCAATACAGCCAGTGTGAACCTTTTCGGGATGTTTCTTTTCAATAAAATTGGTCACTTTCTGATAATACCTCAAGATTTCCTTTATTGAGCGAGCTCCTTCCATGACGAAGCAAACATGTGGACTGAGACCAACGAACAAAAGTGAATAAAAAGTGGCACTGCGAACTAATGTAACATCGTATGGTGAGTTTTTGTTTGTATCATGGAGTAAACATATGTTCGAATTTCGTGTCGTATCCTGAAAATTTCATATGCTGGGGCGTTCGTATCATGAGGTACCACTGTATTTAATGCATTATTGACAAAATTCACTCAGTAATGTTAACTGTTGTGTTATCTGTTACATATTCTACCAATTTTGGCATAAAGATTTACAAAATTGGGTAAGTTGGGATTATGTTGCTGTAACAACAAAAGTTAAGTTTATATTTTGAATTCAGGACAATGGGGTAAATTATTGGGAGATGTCATTGTTTTTATTAAAAATGTAATAACAAACTTTGTAGATCAAGAAAGTTTACATAGTTCTAAGTAAAAGCTTTTCATACCTTCTCCAGCCATTTTGGTGAATTTTTTCCATATTATTAAGTTTTGATCATTTTTGATGGGCTACAGCTTGGGTGGATCCATAAGGAGCTACAGAAGCTTAAGCCCTCCCCATTGACACAAAAAATTAAAAGTTATTTGTTTAAATTCCAAAACTGTTTTTAAAAACATTTTTGATAGCAAATATGATTTATCAGATCATTTGCAATACAATCAAAACTCTTGTACATGTTGAAGATATTTGTAATTATTCAAGTATTTTAAAATTTTGGCACCTTTTTGGGCTCTAGATCCATGACTGCTTAGCTTGTTAGTATATATAAAAACATTTTAATAATGCATGATTTTTGATAGTTGAGATTGAGGTCAAAGAGAGTGAGTTCTAGTTTACAGAAATTTTGCATAATTATTAATTTTATTTTATTCATGTTAAAAAAAAATTATATACAGGGTATTTCAAAGCGTAATGTCAACTGTACAGAAGGTGATAGTAGAGTTTGTTAGAATAAATAATATGTAGAAAGTTTTCTTATACATGTTGTGTTTTAGTAAAGACAATAATTAAAATGATCAAGAACCTTTAAAGCACTAACAGTTGAATAAATGCTCCATGTTAACAAGATTTAACAAGACAGAAAATACCAAAATGAACTGTTTGCATATAAGCAGATGTTCAAATGCCTTCCTTTCCATGCCAATATAACAATGAACTGAATATTGAACGTCATCAAGCTGGTGCAGTTGTTGTTTTTCTGCAGGCATGAATTCTTATACATGGAATTATAGGCAGGAATGATTATACATGTTTGTATTTAAGTAAAACTTATATAAAGTTTTACTTAAATACAAATATGTATAATCATTCTAATATTTTGATAAGCAAATATTCTTTTAGTTTTTTAGGACTTATTTGTTTCATAAAAATTATATTATCTTTCACAAAGAGGGGGAAAAACAATATTTACTCATCTCGGGACAGATATGTGGATCCTATGTAATAGAAACTATCTTTTCTTTAAGAAGTTCAATTAGACAGACACCATCTACTTTCTAACTATGAGGAGTTAGATACAATTATTTTTTACTAATCTAATTATAATAGGATACATTTCATTGTCACGCATTTAACTTGTAAATTAAAATTTGAACCTTGTTACAAATATTCTTAATCCCCAACTTTGAAATAACTTTTTTGTAATAATCAAATGTGTATTCATAGGAGGTTCATCAGCTTTAGTTTTAGTAGTAGTTGATGATTTATAAATTGTCCATTACCACTGAAATGAGATTCTACCTTTATTATAAATAAAATTCTTATTTGCTATCCTTTAGCAATTCAACATCATATTATATTATGTTGTTAAAAGATCTAAGATTTCTGATTAAATTTTTTTTATTTTCCTAGAAAAAATTGATGGGAGGATAAACATGGTTTAATTTTCCTATAAATACTTGAAATTCCACATCTCTTCCTTGTCAAACTATTTATATCATACATGTCTTAAGATAGAAAAGAGGAAGTAGTACACAGAATGGAAAATAAAATATTTTATTATATATTTTGCATGATTATTTCCATCAGATATTGAGGAAAGCAAGCCTACGGACATACTTATTTTGTTGAAAGATATATAGTGATAAATAAATAAATAAATTCATTTTAATATTTGCTTTATTGGAAATATTTTTTATAATGATAGATATTTTTAATTTTAATACTTTAAAAAGTGATATTGAAGGATATAAAATTTTTAAAATAGATGTAAATTCCTTATTAGAAAAATCTTTAATTGAAACATTAGTCAAATAGAGCAGATTTTGTTTGGTTATAGTATCAACAGATTATGCTAAACTATGATGAATTGACATAGTTTTTCTTATTGAAACACTATATTGATTGAGTAAATTGCCTTTTATTTAGTAGTGTTTTTTGCATCACTAACTTCCAACCGAATTTGCTGATTCAACATACAGGAAGGGCCTAAATCTTTTAAAACCTTCATATGCAAATTTAACCTACATTATGATTGATATTCTTAATGTTCTTTATATTATTTTCTTAATATAAAGAACATTCTTAATATTGTATTTAATATAAAAGACAGAATTTAATGACAATCTTACAATCATATCTTATATAATTTCCTAATCCTTGGCAATAAACTAATTTAATATCTTTATAAACTACAAGGAAAACTTCATAATTTTATTATAATAATCAGTTTTATGATTGTTTATTTTTCAGGGCCTTATATTTGTGGTAGATAGTAATGATAGGGAAAGAATTTCAGAAGCACAAGATGAATTACAAAAAATGGTTAGTAATTTTCATATTTTTAAATAATTTTATTATTAATTATTATTAAATGCTTTTAAATAAATAAATACATAAAACAACCTACATATTTATTATTTTTTAATTATAATTTTGATGATTTTGTCATTTTTATTTCCAGTTTGGTTTTTATTTTATGCAATATATTTATGAAACTAATGTTTCAGTTTTTAACATTAAGCCAAATTAAGCTGGATTTTTTTTTTGTTTTATTTTTTAATTAAATTATCAAACTTGTTTGGCCTAAAAATATATGGATATTGTTATCTTATAGATGCAGGCATTTGCCCATTTTTTGGCAAAGTTAGTTGAATAATTAAAAAAATTGTTCCAACAAATGTGGTGTAATGTGGCTTAAATAAATTGCAAATAAATGATCCATTATATATAAATATATATATACAGTGGAACCTTGCTTAACAAGCATAATTCGTTCCAGAATCTTAATCGTAATGCAAAACACTCATTAAGCGAAACAGTTTTTCCCATATAAATTAATGTAAAATATGATAATGTGTTCCATGCCAACAAAATACTCAAATTATTTATGTGTAATGTTTATTCAAAGACAGTTATACAATATACATTGTTAAGGAGCATGAATCATCTTCATCTTTTCTTCTAGCACAGAACAAACCAACCTGGAATGTGAATTCAATTTGCAGAAAACAGAAGAATCACAGATAATATGTCTGATAAATATGCCTAACGATATGCCAAATTCTAGGGCTATGTAAAGGCTATAATTAAATATTAGAAATTAAATAATTTGACTAGAGGTATGCAGTTATGCTACCATCTTGTATTAAATTTAATAATTACAGTCAACCCCCCTATAAGACAGTAAATACGTTCCATTCTTTAGGAATCCGATTTCTTACGAGTCCTTCCAATCACAGCCTGACACGTGTCAAGTTTACGGACTACGGCTGTTTGAAAGGTTTTCTTCCATAAAATTAATCGATTCTAGACTAATCTGACTTAACATTTCCAAAATACGTATATATTTTTTTGGAAATAATCCGTATAAACTATGCTATAAACAAAAAATTGTAGAATTGCTTACCGAGTGTGCACCGTTCGACATTGCCGTTGCTCAAGCTTGTTTTCGCGGAACAGCTCAGCGAACTGCGGCCGCGATTTCTGATGTTATTTTTCTGCGAAAACTTTGCTGAACTTTGGAGACATCATTAATATAAATAATTTTAATCGCCGTTGAATAAGAAATGTTTCTTTCACAAGAAATGTATAAAATTACAGTACTGTATTAGACTTACGGTACCTAATTTACATACTG